GGGGGGGCAGGCTGCTAGGCTCTAGGCAGGTATGGCGACTGGGAGTTCCTCAGCACTCCGTGGGCTTTTACCAATTTATTGATGTATTTATTTTCTCAAATATAGTCCTTTGATTCTCCTCAGGTCCAAAAGCCACATTCACGCACTTCCAGGTGCATTCTGGGAATCTCCTCTAAGAGCGCTCCCGTAGGCCGGCGAACCCTCGCGGACACACGTAAGTGTGGTGCTGGGGTTTGGTCATGGTTGGATGGTGGCGGGTGCGAAGGTGAGAGGGGGGGGGCGTTGGGCCTTGATCAGGCAGGGCGCGGAGTGATTCTTGGGGGTTTCGGGCCGGAGAGTTCAGTTCTCATACTTTGTAGTAGATGTTGGCCGGGCTCTGCGGTGGCATTTCCTGCACAATGTAGACGGGGTGTCCGTAGTCGCCGCTCACCTTCTCGTAGTGCGGGCAGTAGGCGGAGTCCGACGTCCTCAAAGGGATGATGATGTCGCTGGGCTCGGAGCCGTTGTTGTTGGAGCTGCCCATGCCCCCGGCGCCGCCGCCTCGCTTGGGGCTGGTGAGCGACGACAGCGACAGCGGCGGGTGGTGGGTGTCCGAGTGCTTGGCGTGCCGCCGCCGGTAGCACACCACGCAGATGACGGCGGTGACCAGCAGCAGGAAAGCCGAGCCCCCGGCAGCGCCCGCGATCAGGGCGATGTTGGACGGCTGCAGCGGGCCGTTCTCCCCGCCGCCTTCGGCGCCCCCAAAGGTGTTGGGTCCTCTCGAATGGGTTGAGTTCCCTGGAAGAAAGTAAACATTACATTCGGCGTAAGCTCGAATGAGCTCTTGTAACGGGTTGGAACCAAAGCCGCAGTGTGTAATCAAGGTAACACACAGCCTAACAACAGTGTTGACTTAGCATTACCGGCGGCTACGTGACCGCAACCACTCCGCGATGGGCCTCGACCGCACGTGCGCACAGTAAGACGTCCGTTCCGCATCCGTCAAGCTGCCTGTCCCTTGCTCCGAAGCAACCATCACCTCAGGAAGCGGCAGGTGAACAGTGCGGCGGCGGCGGTGCGCGCGTGTCGTCGCACTTTAAGCGTCAGGCCGTGGCATGTGCGAGCGGCGAGCCGGTTAAGGTCGCAACTGCGCGCCGCCGCCTCGTGATGAGCCCGACGATATTCCTGGCACGCCGTCGCCCTTTTTTTTTCTCCCCACATCCTTTCTGAGTCTTGGCTTTATTGGAGCAGTAATGACCTAGCTTACCGTGCGCCCCGTTGTGCTGCACTGGGGGCGAGCAAAGCGCTAATGCTTGCTTCAGCCGGCTTTCGTCCTCTCTCCATTAACTGACATCCCTCATTCTCCATCTCCATTATGACTGTCACCTTTCGCTGGCTCTCTGCATTATAAACCCTCTTCCGTCACCTCTACACCTATTTTCTTTTGCTCTCTCTCTCTCTCTCTCTCTCTCTCTCTCTCTCTCTCTCTCTCTCTCTCTCTCTTTCTACTCATATCACATCTCACAAAAAAAAAAAAAAAAGACTGAGCTCTATGTGCGTGGATCACAGATGGGACCTAATGCCTTTTTCAAAGGGTTCAGATATTTAAGGTCAAGGTGGGAACATCATCATAAATAAGCCTGGAAAATTAATCCAATGAAAAGGACATCACAGTGCAGAGAAAGAAAAATTTCTAATCGCCAAGGCTTCAATATGGTGGGAAAAAAATGCTTCATTTTGGACGCACGCACGCACGCACACACACACACACATTTTATTAAAATATACAAGAGTCTGAGTGTCAGGGCGGCCCGACTGCTCAGAGACATCCTCGGGCCCTGGGTCAGGTCATGTGACCTCCACCCCGGCATTTCTGATTGGCCGAGTCCAAGAGGCCGCTGCTCTTTTGCTCTGAGAATTCCAAAGGTGTCGGCGCTTCACCGAGCGGGCCGTCTGATTAGCTGATGGCGCTCTGGGG